GGCGATTTCTGAACTTAGTGGAGGACGAAACGTTTCTTTCCCATTCGAACATCGATTGGGCACCTGCACAGTTGCTTTGGATGGTTGGATCTAACTTCGATTGCTTACTCTCAATTACTCTTTTTTACTCCTTGTAGGTAGTGTTTATACTCTGGGTGGCCTTTTCAAGTCCGGTACGTCTACATCAAGAGTGAATAGAATAAATCCACAGAATGGTGAAGTGATTGCACTCCAATCAATGATTGAGGAGAGAGAATGTCATTCTGCAGTGGCTCGAGATCATGCAGTTCTTGTTTTTGGAGGTTTTAACAAGCAAAATGTCAAATTCTTAGACTCTTGTGAGGAATTCTCACCTGCAACTAACACGTACGCATTTTATATATGCTACTTACACGCATTTTTAAACATTTGTCGGACCTAACTTGATTGCAACTACAGACATCTGAATCAATCTGAGTTTGTTCGATTTTGTGCGGACAATGATTTACACTCACTTGATTGCTCTTAACAGTGCACTAATATCTGATGAGACTTTTCACTCATCTTTTGCTTCATTTTGAGAGTTCTGAAAGTACTCACTCATTGGTACATTGTCATTAGTTGTAAGACATTGATGTCATTTGGACATAGCTCAGGTATAGCTAAAATGAAAGCATTTAATATATTTATTATACAGTGGCTTTTGATGCAAATTTCCTCTTATAACTGAAAACTAAAGATATTTCAAATATAGGATCGCCAGTCGTTTGTTTATTCAGATTGACAAGTTTTTAGAAGTTACGTCCATCAACATGTACATATAACGGTTGATTAACATGTTCTGTTATCAAGTTCATATGCATTTCGAAATTTTTGTGAATGCATTTTCTGCATTTAGGTGAGTTTGTATGCTTTTGGTTGGAAAATGATTTGCATTCATTTCATTGCTATTAGTAAATCAATATGATGTGACCTATCATTCTTGGAGAGTTCTGAAAAAATATTGTTTAATTTATACATCGTCATAAATAGTTAGATATTTGTATCCAAACCACACTGCTTGGAAACCGTTGACTCAATCACTTTCAAATACCGAAACAGCATAGGCTGGCATGTGAAAATGAGGAAGATGTTGGTAGTATTGTGCTCCAACATGTGTGCATGTAGATATTAGACCCCGCCTGATTTCAAGCTCCAACTTGTAGGTCGAAGCTAACGAATCAGCAGGCATCACTTGAGATTTTAGTATTTTCAAAATGTAGGTGGAGGAAACTGCCCCCAATGCCAACACCTAGGTCTTCCACAGGAGCAGCACATATACCCGGTGTTGGTGACATAGTTGTTGGTGGGTGTGTACCTACTGGAAATTGTAACAAAGCTGAAATCTTTTTGACAACTTCATCGCCTCTTGGACATGCAGGCAGTTGGTGTGAAATCACTCCTATGCTTCATTCGAGGTATGGTCCTGCAGCAGAATTCTTCAATGGAAGTGTATACGTTGCTGGTGATTCGTCAAATTCAACTTCTTCTGTTGAGATGTTGTCCTTATTTACTGAAGGACCTCCCCAGTGGACCGAAGTGATTAAACCCACTTTTAAGCTACTCTCGTTGATCTCTTTTAATGGGAGCCTTTTGTTTCTATGTGAGTCATGTTCAATTTTATTTTGAAGAGTAGTAGGAATATTTTCTTGTGTTAGAAATTACGAGTTGTCCACAACAGGATTATCTTCTCTCAAACAAAAAATTGATTAATTAATTATTAATTGAAATTAATACCAGGGAAGGTTCACTCGCATCCCTCACCGTCTTTGTTGGATGAATTCAAACATCTATACATAAGCTTATTAATGTTCAAAAGTGCCAGAGATAACACTCCTTGGAAAGATCGAATCGTAGCTTAATAGACATACTCGCAGAAAGTCAAGGCTCGTTTACACAAATGAGATTAACTTGTGTGCAGGTAAAAGACAGCCTCACTTATTCACTATGTAGTCAGACATTGAGACCGATGAAGATACAGACGTCACTCTTACATACTGCAATGCATAATTGACAGCGAGTTCATACCAGTATTGCTTTGAGCAAATTGTTCAATCGGATAAATTTTAGTGGGCTTTCTATTTCCCTCATCAAAAAATTGAATTTTAAGAGCAAGTTGTAGAAAAACAGCAATCACCAGACACCACTCAAGGTTAAGTAAATTAATATTCAAATCTCATCATAATTTATCCTCATTGTAGCTAACGAAGAAAGAATATATGAGTTGTTATTCAACCAAGACGATGAGGTAAGTTTTATGACATTGAAAGTCTATGAAAGTACAGGTTACCAATCAATCCCTATTTATTGCTAATTCAGACCTCCTCAGGACAAAAGTATTCTTGGAAATTGATTTCTGAATTGGACAAAATGAATGACCGTCGACTCCTGAAGATAACTGATCTCCCGTGATTCATTTTCTCACCTCCGATAAACAGTTTTCACTGTCTTTTTTCCTCTTGCAAACGAACTGAGGTTAAAATAATGACTCTGTTAGCATAAAATATCTTTCTTCATCGTGAATAAACTTATTTATTTATTTATTTCAAATGGCAGGCGTTTTGACAGTTATCACTAGCCTTTTAGTTGACTTCCTGCTTCACAGGGAGGATGGAGGAGGGGGGCGGAGGGGGACAGAAGAGTGATTCACAGATGTAAAAGAGACAGACAAAAAGGCAGAGAAAAGGTAAGATGAGTACTATGGAAGGGATCGAATATGGCATGCAGTGTTGTGAATAAATTAAACAATAATAATTGAAAATAAAAACCATAATTCCACCCGTTCCGATGAAAAGTTTTGTTTTTGTGATGAAAAAATTATAAAGGAGGAAAAAATACGCAAAATGAACAATTAATTAATTATTTATTATTTAAATTGAAAAAAATAAATAAGATTTGAAACCAGAGTGGGCAGAGAAGGAAACACCTGCTCATTCGAACATTTATTTGTGCAGAGATACCACATCACTTCGCGAATAATGTTGTTCCACGCGAAACGTCTGTTTTCTCGATAGCTCCAGAATATTTTAGCTAGGTCTAATGGGTTATCCAAACTTGGTGGAATCTGCCACAGACATTTATGGGTATTGTCAAGGTTACACATTTTTAGGCAAAAATCAATCTCAGAGTGGATGGAGGAAGAAATATGCGAAATAAAATATTAATCATTTCTAACTTTTAAATTTTTAATTTTAAGCAGAGTGTGTTGAGGAGCAACTAAATGTGCTCCGGAACAATTTGTGTGGGGTGATGTCAGAAGCTGCTACTTATGAGGGAATTCGGACAAAAATGATTGATTGTGCCCAAATAATTCTTATGCCTGAAGCACCTTTCACCAAATACTATTTGATAGTCAGACAGGAGTTCACCTGGAAAAAGAAATTCTTTGCTAAAGCTTCAGCTCAACTTATTGATGTGTCAATGTCTCTTGGTCGCAAATCCTCCATACTTGAAATGCCCATGTCTAGAAATCTCTAGGAAACATCTGTAACATTACTCTCTAGTTAAATGGGGATAAGATAGACCGTTTTCACAGGTACACAGGTCGGTGCTCTTTTGATACCAACCAAGGTGTATATGACACAAGTTGATGTGGTAAATTTGGCTGTGGAAATTCCCCTGACAGAGTGAAAGTCAACAGATTTAAATTTCAGTGCAATACTTGCGTGAACAGGTATGAAAATGACGACTGCTCTCTCAGAGAGTACTGGAATTCAGGTTATTGATATGAAGGACCTGGAGGAAGTGAGAATTAGTGTGGTGATGAAGGCTATGCTGCTGTGTTACAGCTTCTAAACCAAAATATATTGGCGATAGCTATGGCCATGTAAGAGATCATAATGTCACAAGTTCAACTTCTAATAAGAGACGAAAAGTAATCGTTATATCGCAACCGAAAATTTAGAACGCGCATAACTGAACCAGAAGGCCACAAACCTTCTGAATCAGAGTGGTGATCTAGGAGAAATTCACTCAACTTTGTCGTCCTCGGTTTCACAACCTCGGTTACGAATGTGAAGTGTATTGGAAACTCCTATTCGTTTCGATGGGCCATTAATTTCCCATCAGCCAATGAATGCTATAATAAATCAATCAGTCTCCTATAATGACCTGTGAGTGTGCTCGTCAATACACGGTCGGTGATCTAGAACGACAACTAATTTCAATAGGATCTGATGCATCAGGAGCGTTAGAACGGGAAAATTTTCAATTCTCAACAAATAAGCCCTTACAAAATATAACCACAACCAACAATACGTTCAGTTCTCAAGACAGGGTTGCTGCAGAAGCATCCAGAATTACCTCTGCCCACATTGGTGAGGGTGGAAGACAGTTCACATTCACAGAACTCAGAAACCCACCTGCTATCACTTCTCAATATTCACCATCTGCAAGGCCCTTAGAGCAGTCTGGTATTCGATGCAATTGTGGACGTCATCTTGCAGCAGTGAGTGCAGGTAGTTCTTGGGTGGAAATCTCTTGCAGTTATTGTGGAAGGAGAAATTTCGAGATTGTTAGAGAACTGGGAAAAATCAATATTCACTTGTGATTGTAGTCGACAATATGGTGGTATCAGCATGCTTCCTTTAAGTAATCAGAAATGTTCCTTTTCAATGGCACAACATAGTATCTGTGTGAGGGACAAGGAAATATATAAGAGAGAAAAATTCGGGAAAGCAGATCAAGAAGAACGTGGATATGAAAGTGAAGCAATTCACCAAGTACCATTTAATTTGCTGAAACCAGAGCGTACCCCTTTTGGATGAATATTTTATTGTCAAAATTTAACGTTAACCAGGTATTTTTTTCCATCCAATATTTAACCTTTGCCTTTGAAAGACACGCACACATGACTAATAAAGACTTTCATTAGATCATTATTCGCATAAAAGCAATTAGACAAGGGCAACTAAGTGGGATGTCCAAGTTGATAAGTTGCTTACTGCAAATCTTGGTAAAACTGAGACCCGCTAGCGAGAGGGATAAATTATCAAGCCAATCACCCCCTACCCCCCACCCCCATTTTAAGGGGCAGCTCATCAATTTGCTAAGGCATTGCCATTTGAGTTAAGAACAAATGATTCTTACTACTATTTTGCATTCAATAAGAGTAGACAAAATTGTGAAATGGTAGGATATTGTTAACAAGCTTGTTCTCTGTTAGAATTCTCATTATAAACGCATTTCAAAGTAATTAACTGACTTTATGAGGGTATTCTGGTCTAGAAAAAATCAATTTTCATATTTCCATAGTTCAACTATTTCAGAATATGCCTAAGAGAGATTTTTCAAAAATTCCAATTATTTTCGGAGAAATAAGTGTTTTGTTGAGCAGGCATCCAAATCGGTTGGGCTGCAACTAATCGAACAAAAGACAAAATGGGTTCTCTGACTACCTGAATCTATATTTCTTAGTAAGCCCTTTTGTTCCGTTATATCTATCTATCCATTTATCTATATATATATATTTCACGACAATTGAATTTAGAACATGGTAACAGCAGTTTTACAAGTGCATCAGCAGCAAAATTGAGGAAATCAAATGATGAAGAAGTAATGATAGACAATAAGTACGGCTACTGTGTTTTGGAGTTTTTCACGGTCTTTTCAGCAATTTCTTTGTTTGTTTCGTGTACTACATATAACAACGATATTGGATTTTTAAGAACGACTCAATGCGGACTCGGGTTTAAAAGTGCATTACTTGCAATAGTCTACGCTACATTCCATCATGTCCATTCGTTCACAAATCCTTCGAAGCTTATCATCAGAAGAGTCAATGATTCAATGTTTGGGTTCAGAAACTCAAAATAATAATGAGTCCGTAAACTCGCTGATATGGACTTTCGCTCCAAAGCATATCCATTCCGGGTCTTAGTTCATTGAAATTGCAACATTTATTGCAGTGTGTATTTTAATGAAGGATTTATACCGATATTGAAGATAATGACGATCATGGGAGTGAAAAGTGGTCCAGAAGAGCAAGAATTTGCTATCAGACGAGACAACGCACCCTATTGACCTCTCAGAGATACGAGCATCCAGCACTTCAAAGGAGGCTAGAACTGTTTGAATAGAAAACAGAAACGCCAAAAATAGTTTTTTGAAGTAGAGGAAGGTCCAATGTATGCAGCAGGAATGGCAGATTGAATAAATGTAAGTAAAAATATATAATTTTATGACCTAGACTTCAAAAAAGTTTACTTGATACTTTAAGCACGTTTTTCTCAGAATTGTTTTTTTTAATCTGATACCCACGATTTCTCAGATTCTGCCCAACCGATTTAATCGAAATTTAAAAGTCTTCTTTAGGGACTTGTCTATAACCGGAACTACGGTCATCCCCAAATTTGTATTTTTACCATTTTTAAAAATCAAAGAATGTTCAAAGAAGTGGTACAAAAATGATTTTATAATTTATACAGTCGTCATTTTGTAAAAAATATATCTATAACATTTTCGTAGTTCCAAACATGACGACATTATTGAAGACTGAAAATCTTTTTTATTTTTTGATTTCGGATTGCTAGGAGAGTTAAAATCATGGGTATGTTCAAGAACCAAATTTTTGAGACGCCCCACTCCATCAGCTGATAATTAACGGAATTTTAAATTTTTACTTTTTTTATTTTTTTGTATGCTTCTAATGTGAATAAATAATGTATAAAAAAATTGATAATAAAAATTTTTGCTTGTTCTTTTACAGCACTTCAAAAATGGCCTAAAATTCATGCCTCTAGACCAGAATACTCCCTTAAGGCTAAACTATTCGTGTAAACTACTTTCTGAAACAAAAGAAAATATAGTACAAACATGATCTGACCTAAGTGTAAAATCGCTGCCCCATGAAGATTAGAAAGCTTCCTCTTTCTCAAAGAAGAGTCCAAACCGAATTTCAATTGAGGATAGGAGAAAGGGAAATTGCTTTCCATTTTGTGTGCGACAGCGGAGGAGCATTGGAAGCCCAAAATGCTTGAGATTACTGCCTGTTGGAGCACAACTAGTGTTGGGGGGATTGTCCTTATGTGCAAACCAATTTCGGCCAATGATCAGTGTATGCAAGAAATAACGCAGGATCTCTTACTCACCTTCAAGTGTGCGTATCAGGTTTTAGAAAAAGACTGCTCCCTCGTTAACTGGATAGTTATATATCGTACATTGACAAGAATAAAGTAGCTTTATTTGAAAATTTCTCATAGTAACGTGTTTCATTGAATATTTGGGATAAATCTTCATCTCTGAAGTGTTCTCAAATATGCCGATGATGCGATAAAATTTGAGAGGTGTGAATTCTTGTTAATACAGTTGCTTGAAAACATGGCATTCACTTTAAACAGCCCAAATATTAGATGCATCTTTCCTAAGATATCTTCAAATATTGCTTTTATTTTAACAGTTCAATTTTCACCATGGAGCTTCCAAATGAAAATACAAATTGGAAGTCAAAGTTTTTTTTCAGTTTGAGATTCATGTTAAAACAATAATTATAAATAACAACTTGTTAGTAATAAAATTTTAAATACATTTACTTGAAAAAAATATACATTTAGTAGGGGGGGGAGGGGGTTGGAGTGGAGGGAGATTGACAATTTCGAACAATTTTGTGCTGCCAAACGGAGTGGCCACCGTCATGATGCAGAAGTAGTTGGTATGGAACGGTAAGACGCCTTTCAAAACCAATTCAATTGTTTCATCAATTTTGTGATCAAGTAGGAGAAGTTGATGAAGAGTCTGAATACGGCCGCATGATTGAAACAATATTTTTTCTTGTTTCATGAGTGTCCGTATGTCAGAGGCAATCAAGGATGGAACTAGCGAATGGTCCAATTTGAAGAATACACAAGAATAAATAAGAGTGTTGTCAGTGTTAACGCTCTTGAAAAAATTGCCCAATTATAGTTAAATGGCATTTCAAAATAGAAAAGTCTTGTAAAATTTATTTATCTTACTGGAAGTGGTTGCAAGAAGTTAGCGAGGGATCAACAGGATGGATATTCGAGTTGAAGAAAACATCGCTTTAACACACTTTCGTTTGCTTCAAAGATCCATGTCCACAAATCTTTCCTTTGTGCACAGTTGTCAGGAAGTTAGAACAGTACTTTAAATAGTAAACATTCTAAACGAGTAGGTAGACTGTCCTAAGAACATTATCAACTCTTTAGTATTGTTAGAGGTGACGTTGAAATAATCATAAATACTGAAAACGCATTAGGGATTTATCTGTTGGCTCACAATCTTGGCTGCACAAAACTATTTGAATGGATGGTGGATTTCATAAAGACGAGGTTCGTTTATTGCTATGCTCGCAGTCCTGGAAGGATGTGTGCATAGGCGAATAATGATGCGGCGACTGCGACTGCGGCTGTGACGCATTATTATTAATGTCAGTGGTGGTGCCTGCATGCCAACGAGCGGTGGCGCCCTGTTGACGTTGAGTGAATGGGGCTGTGCGATAGACTTACCTCCACATGGTGCACCCAGGGCAAAGTATACTCATACGACGGAAATGTCTATTAACCGGCATTCGACTTCTCACTTCAAACTACCATCACCTCACTCTATTCCATATTCGACTACTTTCACAGTATTCACCTCATCTTTGTTCTAGCTTTGTGTTTGTCTCTTACATCTTTGAAACACTCTTCTGTTCCCCCCCCCCCTCGACTTTTTCAATTTGATGTTCCTTCCTCTCTGTGAAGCCTGAAATCAACTAAAAGGCTAATGATAACCATTAAGACGCCTGCTATTTGATATAAATAAATAGGTTCGTTTATTACAACCAAAATATACATAATGTATGTGTGTGTGGGCGATAGAAGAACAGTGGTGAATGTACACCTCTTGAAGGTCAATGGTTTTCAAAATAAATAATGATATGTAGGGTTATTTGCAAGTGATGTTAGAAGATACCATCACTAAACTAAAGTCCACCGTTTCTGGTACTTCTCCTCATAAACTTGACGTATTTATCTTGTAGACTTGATCGACTTAATGTGTTTGAGGTTTGATCAGCAAGAAGTGTCGCGTCAAACACCAATCACATTGGTGCGTGCTTACCAAAGATAGCAGGTGATTTCGAGTGATTATCATCCAGCCAGCCCTTCATCCAACACGAAGGAGTCGAACAACTTCAAATCATGCTGCAAAGTCCTTGGATATGTGATGGGGACGAAAAGCGAAATTCATGGCACTCTGCACATGGTTGAATGCCTCGTCTTTGAATTCCGATCGGACTAAACGTGAAAAGCACTTTGATCGTCTTCTTTATTTGTCAATATGAAGAGATTGCCGAGAGAATTTGTAATTGAAACGTCAATGCGTGGATCACATTTCATTTTATCTCGCTATGCAAGGTACTGTTTGATTCCCATTATTTGTACATTTATGAATTTGAATGAATCTCGAAGGAAAAGGTAACACATGGCATGGAATACACAATGCGTTGTTTTGTCGCTGTAGAATGAAAAGGATCATTTGTGTTTATCTGCGTCATTACGATTCAAATAGCGGTGTTTTAGTAACTGTTCCTGAACTAAATCGAGGAAGAAGATTTTCTATCCCATTAGAATTTCGAACCAAGAGCAGCACAGTTGCTTTGGATGGTTGGATTGAACTTGAATTTCTTTCTCCCAATTACTCTATTTTACTCCTTGAAGGTAGTGTTTATATTCTGGGAGTCATAAACGAGTTTGAAGATAGTATATCAAGAGTGGAAAGAATCAATCTACAGAATGTTGAAGTTATGTCACTCTAACCAATGATTGAGGAGAGAGAGAAAGGCAATCCTCAGTGGCTCGAGATCATGCAATTCTAGTTTTTGGTGGATATAATACGCAAAGTGGCAAAATTTTAGACTCTTGTGAGGAATTCATACCTGCAACCAGTACGAAAGCATTTAATAATCAAATTATACGCGTTCCAAAATACTTTGTCTGGGTGATGTTTGGACCTGCTAGGATTGTAAATACAATTTCTGCATTAAACTAAGTGTGTCTGATCTGGATTGGAGATTGACTTGCATTCACTTTTGATTTCCATTGGAAATGTTATAATCTCATTAGTGTAAGGATACTGGTGTCAATAAGAGAGTTGACAAGAGAGAAAATGCAGAAGGACAGTCACTTAATAAAGTATTCATGCTGCATTGGCTTTGGAGAAAATTTATTCTTATATCCGACAATTGAAGGTCTGTTAAATATGGCATCATCAGACATTTGTGCGTCCAAATAAGCAAGATGTTGGTAGCAGTGTGCACCAGCATGTGCGTATGTAGATATTAGACCTCGCCTAATTTCAAGCTCCAAATTGTAGATCGAAGGTAACGAAACAGCAAGTATCACACGAGATTTAAGTATTTCCAAAATTTAGGTGTAGGAAACTACCCCTAATGCCAACGCCCAGATCTGACACGGGAGCAGCACATATACCCGGTGTTGGTGATTTAGTTGTTGGTGGGTATGTAGAAACTGGAGATGATTCACGGGGTGTCCACAAAGCAGAAATCGTTTTGACAACTTCATCGCCTCTTGGGTATGCAGGCAGTGGGTGTGAAATCGCTCCTTTTTTCATTCGAGGGCATATCCAAAAGCAGAATTTTTCAAAAGAAAAGTATACGTCGCTCGTGATTTGTTAAATTCAACTTCTTCTGTGGAGATGTTGTTCTATTTCACTGAGGGACCACCTTTGTGGACCGAAGTGATTAAAACCTAATTTTATTCATATCCGAAGATTTATTTTGATGGTAGTCTTTTGTTTGGCAAATCCAATTTTATCATCTTTTTTAAAAAAAAATAGGATCTTTCCTTCCGAGTTCATATCACTATTGCTTTGCACATATTGATCGATTCATTCAGTTGCGTGGTTAATCAATTTTTTCTACCTAAAATGAAAGAGCAGTTAATTGAATTTCGATAGCATCTTTCAAAATATCAGACTCCACTCATGATCTGATAACATTGTCTCTTAATTGTAGCCATTGGTGAAAAAATATATGGGTTGTTATTCAATAATGATGACATTGAAACACGTGAAACGATGAACTCCTCCAAGCAAAAGTTTTCTTGGAAATTGGTTTCTGAACTAGATTATATAGATCACCTACGACTTCTGAAGGTATATGATCTCCGCTGATTCAATATTAATAGTCAAATAGTTATCATTAGCCCTTTAGATGACTTCGGGCTTCACAGAGGGGAGGAACATCAAAGCGAGAAAATTCTAGAGGGGGAACAGAAAAGTGCTTCAAAGATGTAAAAGAGATAGATAGGCACAAAAGGCAGAGAAAAAGGTGAAGTGAGTATTGTGGAAGTGGAAGAATATGACATACGGTGGGGTTATGTTAGTTTGAAATTAGAAGTCAATTGTTGATTTATAGATTTTTTTTGCCATATGAATATACGTTGCCCAGGGTGCACCAAGTGGAGGTAAGTCTATCGCACACCCCTTGATTGCTTAAATAAAACATAGCCTACACGCATATTTCCTAATCGGTGAAACACAGTGAAATGGTGAAGCATATGTGAGTAAAGTTTTCTCATCTTAACCGATGGGATAATTACATGCATATTACTCAGCCATATGGTGAAGCTTCGATTGAGGCATGTTAATATTTCTCTGATTATAAAACAGGCACAATGTTTTTATTCATTCCCTTTGTGGCGACCTCTTACGAAAAATTTTTTAAATCTTCTTCACTCCAATTTGGTATTAATGCGGTCCATCTTACTGAGGTGTTGAAAGCAGTACTGAAGGTATGTTTGAATCTATTTTATCTTCCAATGTTGCTGTTACGCGGTCAGTCACCAGATGCCTGGTAGCATGCCTTCCATGCTCTGTATATCATCATTGGAGAATGATCTTGCAACTTTTTTGTCAACTTCAGATTTTCACATATTTGCCTGTAATCTTTGATCAAGTATAACTTCCCTCTCAACGGCACTTACATCAAAATTTACCACCAACACTAAACAGTCCTCATCTCTAACCAGATCCTCCTACAATCCTCTCTCTCCACCTCCGAATGCCCCCATGTTCTTCCCAATATCTGAGTCACTAGCTCTTACCCTTTCACATTAGACTAACAATCTTCATTCTTCTCCGATTTCAAGACTAGTTTAATTAAGGAACAAATTAACTGAAGCTTCAGTCAACCCTTTCCCTGAATGAACTCACCTATGCTTAAAATTCATCAGTTTAAATCTCAAAGATATTCTAATGAAAACTGAAATATTGTT